ATATAAAGACCTTGACTCATTTCACACCCTAAAGACTTGCAAACGAGTAATAAGCTATTAATCGATTCCAAGAAATGCAATCAAAAGCAGAATAGCTTACATGTAAGCACATCAATTCGATTGAATTTCGTACAACTTCAAATGCAGAACATTTAGCTCAATTGCAATATAGCTATCGCTTCTCAGTATAAAGATTGCCTGGGTACACGCAGCAAAGCTTCTTGTTCCTTATTTCCGTCGGCGGGGGTATTAACGCGGTTACCTGCGAACCTGTTGCAAAGCGTTTCTTATTCATATTAGTAGAATTCTATTAGTATACTCATGCAAATGCTGCAATATGATTGCCTGAGCTACTCGTACACTATCAACCATTAGAGTGCACTGGCTGTCGGTCGTCCACCAAATGCGACGTTTCTATCGTTTTGCCGGAACCTGAAGATACTTGGAATAGACATGGATGACGAACTCTCCTTCAGCGATCATGTTAGCGACATATGCAAGAAGGCGAGCCAAAAAGTGGGTGTGTTAGCAAGATTTCGTAATCTCATTTCATGTGAGACTAAGCTCCACTTATATCTAACTGCAATAATCCCTAATTTAACATACTGCCACACAGTTTGGCACTTCTGCAAAGCTTCTGACAGGCGCAAGCTTGAAAGAGTACAAGAACGTGCGCTAAGAATCATCTTTAATTCCAAGACAGACACCTACGATGCTCTTCTAAGTCGTGCAAAGCTACCCTCCCTTCACAATAGACGTCTTCAGGATATCGCGATCCTAATGTTCAAAGTGAAAAACGGCCTTGTACCTGACTACATAATGGAACGTTTTAGAAATTCGAACAAGGGCTATTCTCTTAGAAATGCTGACTTCGATCTGCCTCGTTTCTCTTCAGTTCGTTATGGAAAACACTCCATTAGATATCGTGGTCCTTACCTTTGGTCAAAACTGAGCGCAATTGACAAAAATAGACCGACCATCGGTAACTTTAGAAAGAATATTAGAAACAAAGACCTCAGTGCTCTAATCGAGGATGCATGTTCAAACTGCCTTATATGCACTTCTTAATTCTCGAACTACTCACTTAAATATCAATTTTTATTTCTCTCTTGTATTATACTGTATTTGTAATTTCAGAAACAGTTTTTATATTATTTATAATTATTTATTCTTACTTATTCCTAGTGTACCCAATTAATTTTAATTCGTATTCTTATAAACTGTACATTTTAAATTTCAATACATTGTAACGTAGTAGTGTCCTCAATTAGCTTCTGTAAGCTAAATACCTACCCTGACACTTAAATAAAGTTATTGTTATTATTATTATTATTATTGACTTTAAAAACTTGCAATTATAGAAAAAACGGATGCGCGCGCGTAAACAACTGCAAATTTACCAAGGACAATTCTGAATCCGTGCGATTTTATTAAAAGTAAAGTTCAATAATGCGTATGTAGAAAAATAATTGGAAACTATTATTTACGTTTATTTCAGTTAGAATTCCGCGAAAACAATTAGATTATTCGCTTTCGATTTCTTTGAGATGATAGAAAGATAGATAGAAATCTCGAGCTCATAATCTGATTGGTAAGAAGTAATGCCACTGCCGTAGAGTAGTCACACTACAACTAAAATGGCGCTGTAAACCAATCAGAATTAAAAGCAAAGATATTGAACCAGTGTCAAGGGTGGGACGAAGCAGCAAGAGTTTTGAATCAAATTTGAACGACACAATAAAAGAAAAAAAAAGGACAATTCGCTTTGATGGCGTTAAACAACCGCAGAACTAAAATATTCACAAACGTTTCTGTCAGTAGAGTCTCACTTCGTAGCTCCTGGTTTGCCTGGTTCCCCTATTTCTTCATCTTCCTCCATTTCTTCATCTCCTTCAGCTTCACCTCCTTGAGCGTCTCCTTTAGCGGATGGCGGCGGCTCGTAAGTTAAACTGATCTTGAGTTTGGCCTGCAAACGAATACCCAGCAGATTTATTTTATGTAAGCTCAACAAGAGTATTTTCGGTTTGAATAAAACATTTTAGCCAGCTCTTTCTTTGTTTTTTGTAGCCTATTCCAGATGTTCAGTTAGTTAGGGAGCAGCGCGCAAAACGGCGAGAAAAAATAGCTAGGGAAGGACTCAGTGTTGCCTGGGAGAGCTTTGGGGAAAAGTCAAAGGTGTTTTATTATTGCTTTTCGCCCCAATCCCCTACTATTTTTTTCTTCAGCGGTTTTCGCACTGCCTCCAAACCAACCAAACGCTTAGAACAGGCTATAGTATTTCCTAGGTAGTATTTATTCTTTCCATGATATTCATCCAGTCTTTCTGTAGAGAAAATCCACTACAATAATGTGATCAATATATAGGATTGAATTGAGACAAACAAAATAGGATTGAACAGATAAATAAAACTTACGGGCGTTGCGCTTTGTTGGCCGTCTACCAAGTCTAGCTCGGTGTCCAACGAGTTACTTTTCGAGCGGACCAGGTTATTTAAAGGAAGTGATGCCGAGCCGAGAAGACTGCCATAAAAAGAGATCCCAGAGTTTATTAATGTTCAACTACCAAAAATAATAAAAGTTATTAAAATATATTTATACATTTGGTAAGCAGTAGACAATTATAAGAGAATAAGTGTCTATGGAAAATGATACTATATGTTTCCATCGGTTAATTGCGACTCATGATCGTGACTTAATGAAAAATCGATGTGCTCTAGCTGTCGTTCTTTATCTTAATTTTACGTATTTGCGTGGCTAGCAAGGTTGTTTAACGCATACACTATCATAATCACGCAACATTTGAGTGAAATCAGTTCACTTCACTCCGGTTTATGGGGATCGAGTTTAAAGTTTTGGATAAAAAGGCAGCATTTAAGGGAACGTTTTTTTTCTTTTATCAAGCTCCCGAACTTTCTCGCGTTCAACATTCTTAGTACTAGTGATGTACATTACCCACAAATGTAGGCAAATATTTAATCAGCGGAGTGATGTAAAGTCCAGTATCAACTGTGTATTTATTTCCGTTGAATATATTACATGCAGAAGAAACGTAACATCATCAAAATCACGCGATTATAGTATTGCTTTCGCAAAAATGCTTGTAAAACATATGGTAGTAGAAAAAAATGTAGATCCAGTAGGAATCCGGCAACCTTATAGTCAACGAGAGTAAGGTAACCATTGTCAATCGACAAAGGGGATCGATCAGAGAGTGAATGTTAATAAGCCAGCTATACTTACCGGTTAGGTGTTATTTTCTCCCAGTCTTTAACTTTGAGCGAAAGGGTTTCTTGAGCCGATAATTCTTGTCCGTTGAGATCATACTCAAATTCCTACATAAAGCAAACAGTCACGCGCATTGGTGATGAACAGAAAAATTACATAACACCTAACCCAGTTTTCTTCTCAGTCATTCAAAATTGTGATAAAATAATGGTGCCATGAGCTTAGTTACCTTGTTCCATTCCGGATTGAGTTCATCTTTAATAACGTCTGTCTTCCGCTCCTGACCTACCAGGGAGATAGAGGTAACAATATGTGAAGACAGGGAAGCCAAAACAAATGAGACCTCATATTAATTTATATCTTGAAATTTTCCGAGAAGCTAGAAACTAATAAGTCGCCTAAAAATCAAGTCTGTTTACTATTCACCGCTTCAACTTTCCTTATTTTTTGGTTTGACTCCTAAATAGCCAACTGTCGTTTAAAACAGGAATTCTCCCCTAGTAATCAACTCCTGAAACATGGAAAAGTAGCCCTTGGGCTTCAAATTAAGCATCCTTTCGTTATAAACGTTCTTTTTTAACATTTTGTTTTCGCGAATATAATTGAATTTTATCTCTGGATACTAGACAGTAGAGTGTTTAATAAGACAACTTCGGATTAATATCTCCTTTTGAGTGTCATCATTTCTAGTTCCATTTCCATATTGTGGGCGGCCATTTTGAAAACACCTCCCAAAGTATCTCAGAAAATAATACTAATAATAACAACCTCTGGCATGGTCGTGGCTTCTTATCTAAGATTGATGAACATGTCCAAACTGTCATGCTAATTCTATTACACATCTTTTTACACCTTCATGTATGTGAAGAGCTTTTCTACTGTGCCAGCCACGTAAAAGTTCACGCTCGACATTATTAATCGTTCATTCAATGAGAGAATACGGACATTCTCCAAATGTAAAATTTAAGTTTCTCCCAATATTCCAGATTCGAACTAATGTCACTCACTCAGAATTACACTGAAATAACATAAATTTCTTTACAAACTGGGCTTGTCGACTGAAGGTGTCTAAAGTTCTCAGTGGTTAAGAACCCTTTGAAAACACCTGGTTTGGTTGATATGATTAATTGTTACTTAAGCCTTGTAACTCGCATATCGCAGCACCTGTTACACATCACGTAAAGGAAATATGACCGCTTTTAAGTTAAATGCTAGTAACAACGCTTTTGAAATAAGGGAGATAATTCCTGTGGTTATTATTATTTTTTTGCCTCTAGCATGACTGTTCGGTGTTTCAGCCAGTATGGCCGACACAAATTTACACAATATTCTCCCCGTCCGGTTTGTGCGGTTTTGACCTTTTTTACTTGGACACTAATCAGACATTGGCGCATTTTGCGTCTGTTTTCACGCCAGTACAGTTCCTCGTTCAAGTGTAAAATGATGCAGTTTCAATAAAAGCACTGGACAAAATATTGATATTTCTACCCCACACTGAAATCCATACCGGAAGCGCGGCCCGTTTTCATTTTAATGTGCCATGTATTTTTTATTCTTTTTTATTTTATTTCATTTTATTTTATTATGTATCGGTTATATCCAAGC